TGTGACTCATTATTGTAAATAGCGGTACAATGAAGAGATGAGAAAAGAATCTAAATACACTGACAGAATAGTTTCAAGGAAAGCAAGACACAAGAATATAAAAAGCGAGCAGAAGAATTTACCTAAACCCTTGCGATATCAAAGGTCATTTATGTAGGAATCTACTGAAATACACCTTTTGCAATCCTGGGTGATTTATTCAATTGAGAAGGAAAGGCTTTAAGTAGATCAAGGCATAGGAGCAGAGCAGATTTATGTCAATGGCAACAGAAATGTGTGTTCCTTTAGGGTAAAAATTGGTCCATTCGTGTACAAGTTCAAATGTAAGTTGGAGTAGCCAGTTTGGTTATTTATTAGGATTTGATCTGGCACTTGGAAATATGTTGATTTTAATGTGCTTTATGAATTTATTCTTTTAAGTCAGCTTGTTGTTATGACCCTTATTCTATGGAGGAAAGAGGGTGGCTTTTGATCCGTTAATTTACTCGAATGTGACAATGGTCCCTCAGGATGAGCAGGGAGATGTTAGGAGAGTATAATATATAATCACTGAAGCCAAGGACCAAGACTCATTCTTTTTTCTCCCTTTTGAGTCCCAAGTGCTTGCCTAATAAAACTGTAAGTCAAAGGTCATAGCAGAACCTCTGAAGCTGCCTCCTGGAGACGTGGACATCTGTCTGTCCTAGAAGGCAGCCCAGGACAGAAGCCCTTGTGCTCGGCTGTGACCCTGGTGTCCTTGGGTTCAAATCCTGGCTGTGCCAGTTACTGCTCATGTGACCCTCAGGATTTATCTCTTGGAACCTTAGCTTATAGCTATGTTAATAATATCAGAGCTATTCTGGCAATTAAATTTCAAGAAGATAAAATGAGGGAAGAAATGTAAGGTACTTAATATAATATCTGACTCCTATTCATGCTCCAAAATTGTAGTTCTCACTGCCTCGTGAGTATACTTAGAAATGCTAGGATAAGCAGACTTGTTTGACCACTGCTGAATTATTTTTAAGCATGCCTTAATCATCTGCTTCCAAATTAACATGAACAAACTGAGTGGCTGGCGTATGCAGGGTGAGGAACAGAATCCAGACAATTCACGGTGCAGCCAGGCAGCGACCCAAGCACTTGTAGAAACCCATAGAAAGATGCTCTTGAATTTAGTGCAATGTGCTGGTATTAATCGGCGACGAGAAGCCTGGTGTTAGGCTGCATGCTGCCTTTGATATGGGGTCCATCCACTTTATTATTTTCTAGAGCATTGCATAGACCTTTTGCCGAGTGGGGGAGGGGGACTCTGCTCATTTAATTCCCAAGTAAGGGATAATTAGTAACAACTGTGATTCATAGCTACAGGAATCCGACATCATTTTCATGGCATATTACTTAGGACAGTCGCAAAATCACTGATCTTCCAGGATAACGAGGTTGTGTTGTGGTTAGCTTCGTTTTTATATCATTGGTGAGAGTCTTTTTTTTGGCACCGGGAATAGAACTCCACCGGTCCTTGGGCTTGTGAGGCAGGCGGCGGCACCCAGAGTGTTTCTGAAATATAGTACTAGTGTGGCCACGTACAGTGACAAGGTGCGTGACCAGTATTAGTGGGTGGGGGCGAGAGACTGATGTGCCTAGGACAAGCCGTGGTTGGAGAGGGTGGAGAGGGGAGGGATTAACATTGGATGCACACCTACTATGCTCCAGGTGTGAAACTGGGTGCTTGGTTCTGTCGGCTGTGCAGCTCTCCCAAACATCCTACGAAGCCCCATGTCACTGTCCCCTGGAACCTCTGCACTCCAGGCTTTTAGTCCTCCCTCAGTTCCCGTTGGCTTCAGGGAACCCATGCCTGACTCCCGCCCCCCCGACTTTTCTCAATCTCTTGTTTCTTCTGAGCCTCTGACCTCTAAATGTTGGTGGACACCGAGGCCTCGAGCCTCTCTGTGAAGTTGCATTGGTTCAGAGACTCTGCCCAGTCTCGTGCCCCTGAAGATCACTGAGACGCTGAGATGTTCCAGTCCCCATCTGCAGGGGGCACCCGTCCCCTGACCCTGTGCTATTTCCACTTGGTGTCTACCGTGTGTCTGTAAACACCACTCCCAACCCTGCTCCTCCCACTGCCCCCTCCGCATTCTAGAAATGAGCTTTTCCTCCTTCTGATCTCTTAGCCCCAAAGCCTTCTGGTTTCCCGGGCTCCTCTTCCTCTCGCACTGAGCCCCACCTGTCCTCCACCCCTGGGGCAGCGCCTCTGATGTCCACTCAGAACCCACACACCTCTCTCCACGCTCCACCCTCAACCCCACCTATGACTTCAGGCCTCTGCTGAAGCTGGCCTGAGGCAGCCACGGTGGCGTCAGTGGTATTGTCTCACTTCCACCCCTGAAAACCTTTCTCCCCGCAGCAACCTGGTCCAACGAATTTCTCTCTAGCCTAATCTCTTGCTCACTCCTTCCCTCTTTACCACCAGCCACATTGGCAACCCTTCCATTTCTCAGACAGCCAAGGACTATCATGCCACAGGGCCTTTGCACTGGCTGTTCTCTATTAACTGAAACATTGTATCTCTAAAATCTATCTGGCTTGTTCCCTGGTGTGCTTCAGGTCTCTGCTCACACATCACCTAAATGGAGAAGTCAGGTGCCCTGACCCACCCTATGTAAAATAGAAGTCTGATTTCAATAGATGCCTCTTTTCTTTTTTTTTTTTACATTGTTTCCTGTTCTCCTTCCTTCCCCTATCACTGGATTATAGTGTGTAAATTCCACGGGGACAGGCACTGTTTGTTTTTTCACTGCTGTATCTGCAGCCCCTAGAACAACACTTGGCAAACACGAAGCATTCAGTGGACACACAAATGATCCCCGACTTTAAAGGTTCAACTCAAGTTTTCTACTGTATCATGGTGCAGACCCTCACCCCACAACCACTGTGTTCTTCATTTTCAGAATAAATTACATGGGGCATTCGACACTTTAAAACGGTCTTGGCGCCCAGGGTCTTTGTCCAGCCTGGGCTCTTGGGTATGTCCTGCCCCGCTCCAGGGAGGGGAGGCTGAGCTCTGGTGCACGTTGGACGAGGTGTTTTCAGGCATTGTTGACTTCCGCTATTTGAAGCTCAGAGTGGTTGTGTTGAGACACGACCCCATCAAAAACTGAGCCGCACCTCTCCGTTAACATGTGCTGCGCCTCCCCTGTTCTGCAAACAAGAAAACCAAAGCCCAGAAGGCTGGTGACTTGCCTAGAGGCCTGTGGAAGTCTGATGGTTTCTAGATGGTGACAGGACCCCTCCCAGGTCTCCCTGGCTCCTGCCCTGTGCTGAGTCCTCTGCCCTGCTGTGCTGGGGACTTCCATCTTACCCCTTGGGCTTGGTGGTGTGCAGACAATCAGACAGGGCCAGGCACCTCCTGGTGTCAGCCTCCACCTCCCCACCTCTACAAGAGGCATGGACCAAACTGACCTGGACAGACTGCTCGGCTCAGACACCTTCTCAAAGGACCCCAGAGGGCACTGGGCGTTGGCGCCCCTGTCCCAAAGCAGGTATCTGAAGCACAGGGCCAGAGGCTTGGTCTCAGGGCCCTAAGGATCCGGCCTGGAGAAATGGATCCTTCACGTGAGGCCCGTGGCACCCCGAGAAGGCGGCCCCAGCCCCCCCTGCAGTTCTGCTCTGCGTGCCAGCGACCCCAGTCACCGGAAGGAGATGGGCATCCCCCACCCAAGACTCTGGGAAAACAATTTAACATGCTTGCGCTCTGAATTGCCCCCGTGTTTTTAAGCTAAGAATTGCATGTATCTATGACTTATTTGTTTGTGGTACCAGGAATAGGACACAGTGCCCTTTGCATGGTAGGTAAGTAACATCCCCAGCCTAACTCTGAGGATTTTATTGATGGACGGGAAAAGATACAGTTTTCATTTAAAGGCTATATATCAGGTTAAGTTGCCGGACTCAATGGATGACGTATCTTCATGCACAACTATGCTCCTAAAGAGGAACAGAGCCTCTGCCCCCATGTGATGTTTCCTGTCTTAGCTGCTTCACTGAGAGAACACTTAGCTCAGAGCCAGTGTCTCCTCCATCCCTGTGTCCCCAGAACATGGTTCTCTCTCTCTCTCTCTCTCTCTCTCTCTCTCTCTCTCTCTCTCTGCCTATCAGAGAGCAGAGGAGCAAACATTTCCAACATTTACTTCCTGTTTTAATAACCCTTGTACCATCGCCACCTCACGGCATCTTCCCAGCAGCCCCGCGAGACAGGAGGCACGCGTCCCTGTTGCCATTTCACAGAGGAGAAGCCAGGCACTTGAAGCCAAGCCCCTTGCCCAGGTCACAGACCCTGGAGATAGTGAGACCTTTGGTCTCAATGACCTGGGTCTGGAGGCTGTGGGCTTCTGGGCCTCCAAATGCAGCCTCAGGGGACACTGGTGGGCAATGCACAAACACACACATCACATGAGTGGCAGTGACTCTAACTCTAGCTCTGGCGCCCCTCCCTGTGCTCCAGCCTCTGGGACACCTTGGATCCAGGTCCCTACAAGTAACAGAACCCTGAGGAATGGTGTAAGGGAGTAAGGAAGTCGGGATCTGCCAGGTGAGGTGGAGGGGGAGCGGGCAGGCAGTAATCTCTGCCCCACATCTAGAGGGAGCTCTAGGGGCAAATGGAGGCAGAAAGGCCAGGCCTTTGTATCCAAATCACAGGTGGGTCTGGTCCAAGGGCCTGCTGCAGGATGAGGGGTACAGCTGGGCGCTTTTAGTGGCTGACATTCCTAGCTTTGGCGGGCACGCCTGCCAACACCTTGGTCTTGGATTTCCATCCTCCAGCAGGAATCCGAGATGAATTCCTGCTTTCCAAGTCTCCTAGCCTGTGGAATTTGGCTATGGCAGCCCTACCATACTAATCTATTCTTGCCTGCTATTCAAAAGAGTTGGGTTCCAGTGTCTTACTTACTCTTCTCATTGCTGAGACAAAATACCCGATACCCAAAGTTCAAAGAGGAAAAGTTTATTTAGCTCACAATTTGTAGAGGTTTCAGTCCATAATCAGCTGGCTCCAAGGCAGGGGGGCACATGGAAGAGGAGCAACAGCTCCTGGAGGTGGACGACAGCCAGAGTAACAAGGGACCTTAAAAAGGCCTCCCTGCCCCTTTCGTCCTAGTTGGACTACTTATGATGAGAATTCACACCCTTAATCCTAGTGCCCGCAGTCTTGCACTGCACCGGGAATCCATCACCCAGCTCTGAAAAAGCGGAGGCCTAGCGGGGAGATCTAGATGCAGCCATCACATCCAGGAGCATCCTGTCCAGACCCTGAAACCTGGGGAAGCTTGAGTCCCTGTATGAGTGATATTTGCACATAATCCACACAGTCCTCCTATGTAGTTTACACCGTCCCTGGATTATACCCAGTGCAATGTAAACACTATGCAAATCATTGTACTATTTTGTTTAGGGATTTCAAATTTTGGTTTTGGAAACCTGAATTTTTAAAAACATATTTCCAGTTGAATTTTTTAAAACATATTTTCAGATGCAGAGCCCACCAGAGAGCCACCGGGAGAAGTGGGAGACCTGTTTCAATCCTGGTCACTATTTCCATAACGTGATAATTGGTTTTTGCTGAGCTACATGCAGCCTCCAAATCTCAGTGACCTACAACATCACTCAGTTTTCTCTCTCATGAGTCTGCATGGCGAAGGTGTGGTTTGGCTCCGGACAGCGGTGCTGGCTCGGTTTTACGGCCCCTGTCTTTTACAAGATCAGAGAACGGGGCCAGGCCATGGACTGTGAATACATCTAAGGCCTGGTTTGCACCAGGCCCACTCACACCCTGGTGGCCAAAGCAAGTCCCACAGTCAAGGTTAACAAGAGCAGGACCGGGAAACTCAGCAAACTCGAGAGAGGAGCCGCGAAGTCACAGACAAAGGACAGAGGGTGACACTAGTAGCAGGGGGCGAGGGCACCAGGAGCAATATCCAGGCAGCCACAGAGCGGCAAGGAGAAACGCTAAATGATTCCTAAGGCAGCAGAACGTCCAGCCCACCACAGCGAAGGCAGCTACGTGTCCTGGCACTGCGTCCTGAGGAAAGGCACCCCTGCCAATCCATCACCCCAGCTTCAGCAGGACCCCGACACCTTGGCCAAGCCGCATGCGCCATCTTGGGGCATCGGCTCCCAGTGCAGAGAAACACGATCCCTCCTGGGAGATCAGAATCAATTCTAAAAAGACACAGCTGTTCTGCAGCGCAGGCTCGGAAGGGAGAGGAAGAGGTGCTGTGGGAAGTGTCTGGTTTCTTTCTGCTTTGAGTTGTTGAAGTGACCAAAGAAACGTCTTTAAGCTCCGATTATTAATTTTGGAAGAGCCAGTTGCCAAGTTTGTGATCATTTTCGTGGAGAAGGAACACAAGATTGAAGAAAAGCTTCATGGCCGAGGTTTTCACCTCATGGCGAGTTCGGAAGCACTCACAGCAGAGGCATCAGAGGTAACGCTCGTTTGTTTTCTTGATGTCCCCCTTGGACGGATAAATCAAATGCCACAGTTTAATGCATTCAATAAATGTTTGCTGACCATCCCCCATGGTCGCATGCTCACCTGTGAAAACACAAACAAATCACCCTCCATCTGGGTCACGGGGGGGCAAGTCGCTTCCTACCCCAGGTCTCGGCTCCATTGTCGGTACAGCGAGTGTGTTTGGTGAAGCACGGACTCTCGGGTCCCTTCCCAGGCCAGCATTCTGAAGTCCACAAACTGGCTGATGTCCCCTTCCCACCTGGCCATCCCTGAGACTAGAGGTGTGTGTACAGAGAGGAGCGAACCACGGGCCTGAACGGGACGTTGCAGGTTCCTCCGGGTGGTGAGGCTACAAACCCTGGTGCAAGCGAGGAATCGTGATGCAGCCCATAATCCCGACTCGGTAGGAGGCTGAGGCAGGAGGATGGAAAGATCGAGCTCAGCCTGAGTGACTTAGCAAGACCCTGTCTTAAAACCAAACAACTAATAAATAAATAAGGCAGGAGTGTACGTTGGTGCAAAGACCCTGTGTTCAACCCACAACCACCTCCCCAAAAAATAAAAGACCCATCGGTGTATTTGTGATCACTGTTTCCCATCTACTTCCCCAGAAATAAAAGTTCTTTGTTCTAAAACCTCCCCGGGGCAGAGGCGTATGTGGGTCCCATCTTCAGCACACATTCAACAGTACCTGGGTGGAGTTTGGCAGTGAGGAGGTAAGTCCTGACCACAGTTCAGAAAGTACCACCGAGCTCTCTTGACCTGAGTCTACATCCGGCCCCTTGTTCGTTGTAGAACCATGGGTGGGTAACAGCCTCAGTTTTCTGATCTGAGAAATGGTTATGCTACCAGCGGCCTCTTCCTTATAGGTGGTCGTTAAGAACTCAGCATGGTGTCGGAGCACAGAACCCACCAGAATCACTGCCGCGTTTCATTCTCGTAGGCTCCCCTTCGCAAACCCGCTTTCACGCCAGCTTGTTTAGCCTCTTTTTAGTCGGGAAAGCTCTGAAAAGGAAAGTTTATACTGTTGTTGAAATTTATGAACAGTGTAAAGGAGCCGCTTGCAGGGCTCTTCCTGTAAAGCTGTCCATAGATTTGGGAAAGTTCCCTGTTACTGAATTAAAATTAGAAGGTCTGAAAATTAGAACCTGGTTCACCTGTTACCCTGTGAGCTAGGAAGGTAGAAGTCCAGCTAGTGAGAGATGCACCGGATTGTTTCCAAGGGGAGCAGAGATGCGGGAGGGCCTAGGCTTTGCCCTCTGGGTACTGCCCACGAGCAGGGCTACATTCGCCCTGGAGAAGAAAGCTCTCTCTCTAATTGCTACCAAGGAGCCTGCGGGTTAGCCCCAGCCCTAGACGGAGCATGCTCTGGGAGACATTTACGCCCACACTTTGGTGTGATGCCTCCTGAGGAATGGCAGGAGATAGGATGAGAGCTTGGATTTGTCTTTCTTTTCTTCCCAAAAGCCACCTAGAGGCCTCTGCCCCCGCCCCAAGTGGCTCTGCACAACTCCCATGGGGCTTCTGGCTGGCAGGACCTGCTGGGGAAAGGAAAATTACAGCTCTTTTCCAAGACGGTTCCATCTCCTGCACACAGGATGGCTGTCTCAGAGCTGGACAGAATCATTCCTGCCCTGGTCATCCCAGAGATCTGAGGGGCTGGGCATGGAGCCAGGGCCACAGCAAGGCTGGAGGTCTGGATGTGGTCATAGAACATGCAGAGCACTTGGTGGGGGGGGGCGCTTCTCCTTGGAACTTGTTCTCACAGCCCCATCTGCACTTTTAAAAACCAGATCTCCCATGTGTCTGTCTCTCTAAAGTAGAAGTATGGGAGCTAACTGTCCCTGGACGAAGGAGTCCGCACCCCAGCTTGTCCCCAGGGTGCTGGAGGAGGCTGACACTGGCCAGACACGACGTGACCGGCATTGCTGCTCCCTCCCAGCCACATACCCACAGGGCGCCTCCTGGTCCTGAGTGTGGACTACATCAATGCCTGCACATCTCCCCGGCTCAGCATTAAGACATGTAAACAAATAAAGGGGCCATTGATGAGGACGAATTTGGCAACTTCACCGTTTCCTAGCTAAAGACACCCCCTTGAGTGGGTCACTGCAGGAAGTACCAGAAACTTCTCACGATGTGGGTACCTGGGCAGCTACCCTGATGTCAGGCCGGGGGCCGCAGCCTCAGCCCTTCCTGGTGTGCTGGACTGAACAGTCTGTTTCTGGCTAATACATATTTTCCCCAGGACGTTCTCAGTGCTGGACATGTTCGGTATTGACTGAAGATCTACACAAGCTTTGTATTGTTGTTACCGTGCATTCCTGAGGAGGGGGCGGGGTACACATGGCCCAATCCTGGAGCCCCTACTAATGTGTGGTCCAGGGACGTGGGCCCTAATTCCTCTGGACGACTGGTGCCTAATTCAGTGTTTCCACTTTGGCTTTGAAGGAAATTTGCCTTGCTCTTTGTGGCCTCTTTGGGAGGAGACATTTTTCCCACGGAGGCTAAAGAGTTCGTTACTCAGTGTACAAAATGTCCTAGGAACAGGAAGTGGAGAACTTGGAAATAAAAACCCACAAGGGTTTGGACAAGTGGTGAGGGGCAAGACTGGAAATGAGCAGAAAATTCTACTCAAAAGTTCCCCTAGCTAAATAAATGAGTGACAAAGAGCAAAATATGGCCGCAAAGGTGTCCTAAAACCCCCATGCCTGTGAAAGTCCGCTCCTTCCCAAATTGGGTGCATGTATGTTTAAAAATATCCTCACCCTGCCTCTCCCACAAGCATAGAAAACAACTTTTATTAGGATGGAGGTCAGAGGAATACTATCAGTGAGAAAAAATAAATTAGCCATTTGGGGTAGGTCTGTTAAGTATTTGAGCCACTGGGGTTCCATTTTGTGAGCCAAGAGAACTAATTTACCGAATGGGTCCCCGGGGCCTGCAATAGCTGAGGCACTGGCCACAAAGGGACAACTCCAGCCCGGCCCCCACCTCCACAGCAGACCAGTGCCTGCAGCAGGGAATGAGGACTTAGGTTTAGAAGGGACACAGAAGGTCTTCTAGATGTCGGTGTGGGCAGGGACCACACTGCATTCATGTATTAAAGGGAGAATAAAGAAAGGAAGGCAGTGGGACCCTAGAATTGGGCACATCTGGATTTGCATCTGGTCTACTTTCTACCTGGGTGAGTGTAAGCAAACCTCCTAGCCTCAGATTTCTCCTCCCTGACTGGTGTTGGGAAGATTCAGCCTCAACTGGCAGGAATCCCTGGACAAGCACAGTGGTGGGCCACAGGGGACGCCCACGGATGGAATCCGCCATTTCAGCCATCAGTGTGGCTGGGTTCTTTCTAGGCAGAGTGCCACACAGGTGTTGTCTCATCCCATTCCTCAACAAGGCAATGAAGGCTGTCATGGTAACCACTCTACCAAGGAGAGACTTTGGGCTCAGAGAAGTTAAGTAACTTTATGAATGTTACAGAGCTAGGAGGTGACAGGGTAGACTTGAACCCATGTATAACGAACTTCAGTGCCCATGTGTGGAAGTGACATCTTCCTCAGAGGTGGGGTGACGTGACTGATGGTTACTTAGTCATCATCCCTTCCATAAGCTGTACAGAGGGACCTTCACTAAGGTGGGGAGTTAGTACTGCTTTAGAGAGAGTGACACTCGCTGGAAATCTTGGCTCCTCCCCTATGGCTTTGTGGGGAGAACCCCTTGGAGACCACTCTGGGGTGCTGGGAAACAAAATGGCGCCCACCCCATGGAGCCAGCCACAGTAGAAGTGGGTAGGAAGGTCCTGTGGGTTGACTCTACTCTTTAGGGCGGCAGCAATGGTCCTCTGCCAGCAAAACACTTGTCCCAGGGTTTGTAATTTGCTTAGCTGCTAGTGCTTGTCCACAGTCACCCACAGATGCAGAGACAGAGTCTGGAGCTCAGGCCCCTCCCAAACCAAAGAAACATCAGAAAACCGAGGAACATACAGAGGGTAAAACACACCTCTATCAAGAAAGAGATCCTCCAAGTAAACATGCCTGTTATAAGTCCATGGTTAGTACAGCGATTTAATACTTACCTCTTTCATCCCTAGCAGCTTTGGAATTACAAGTATTATTAAAGGACTATTTGCAAATGAAAACCCACAGAAGGGACTGAGTTGGTTGAGCACAAACCCAGCAGAGTGGGAAAGCGCCTGGCCAACTTTCCAGCTTCAGTGGGAGATTGCTCAAAGTCACATCACTCTCCATGCTAATAGCTCTGCTCTGCCCACGTGTGTGTGTGTGTGTGTGTGTGCGTGTGCGTGTGCGTTATAAGGATACCTGTCCGCCTGCATTCCCATCTTATAGCTGCAAGGGTATTCCCCGCCTGCCATGCTACTCTCCCTCGCTGTTTCCTCCCTGTGCCCCCTTTTCCCCACCCCTTTGCTTCATCGCTGTGGTTTGAGAGAGGTCAATGGGAGGCGGCCCACAGCTAACAGGCTTTCTCTGCCTGTGCCCCCATCTCCCCACCTCTGTCCTCTGACAGTTTCCTCACCCACAGCCCCATCGCTGGCTGCTCCTGCCACCAAACTGCATTGCCCTTTGCCCCAGAGCACACATTAAAAACCGACTCGGCCAAAGCAAACTGTGTAAATGCACAAGAGCTACATCTCCTGGATTGGCCAGGACTCACCCGTGACGATCTGAATGAACACAGCCTCCGTCTGCAGCGAGGGAGGGCGATTCCCCGTGGATTCTTGGCGGAGGGGCAGGGGAGACCCGGAGACAGACAGCTTCCGGGAGAGAGGCACTGCTTGCCCAAGGCTCGAGGACTCCTGGCAACGACCTGCATGGCACCTGCTCGGAGATTCTGAGCACCTGCCCTGGTGCTCTCAGCCCTGCACCAGGCTCTCTCAGACCGCCACTGCACATGTGGATATTCAGGGATTCTGGTTGGTCAGGAGTAGGGCCTGGGCCTCTGCATTTCAACAGTGTCTCCTGGGGATTCCGTATCACTTAGGAAACGCTGGCACCAGCCTGAGATGTGCCTGTCAGGACAAAACTGCTCAGAAACAGGCCTCTAACGTTGTACATCCACGGACCACTGCCTGGATCCCGGAGGCGGCCACACACTGACTCCAGAAAGCATCAGGGTTTCTCGGTCGCCGCCTCCCAGACCAAGGAAGCCACCACGAGCTGGTTCCGAGGCCTCGCCTTCCCACACATCCCCCGTGGATTCCTGGAAGCCTGTGGGATGGCGTTCTCACCCAACCTGGGGCTGCCTCCAGGTCCGGAGCCAGGCTGCAACGACGTCCCAGACTGAGTCAGAGAGAAACTGGGCCACGCGTGGGCGCACCCGAGTCCTGTCCTCAGCTCGTCCTCTCAGCTCAGTGCAGGGAAGAGGCAGGCCGTGGTCCTCAGAGAAGCCTGTGGTTAAACTTCCTTGGCTTCATCGGCCAAATGCAGATTCCTGTGCCCAATCCACTCGGCGGAGCTGCTGCCAGAACAGGAGAGGAGAACCGCGAGTGTGCTATGCAAAATCAAGATGTGACGAGAATTCCTGGAGAAGGCTGAGCATGAGGAGGATTTTAACGAGAGAAGCAAGACTGTTGTCGGGGCTAAGGGAGATGAGTTTGCTCAGAGAATCCCACACTCTTTAAAAAAGAATCAACAGAGCACCAGAAAGGAGAAGAGAAACAAGAACGGGCCACAGACCCTGCCATCCTCAGGCCCCGGGTCCGTGCAGGTGGGGCCGGTTCTGTTTCCGCCAGGGCATTCTGCCGCGTGCAACAGAAATAATCTGATTAGCTCAAGAAAGGGGCATCTATTCTTGGACATTCCATGAAATCCTACACGAGGCAGAGTAAGCAGGATCGCCCTGGAGACCTCAGTAACAGGAGTTTAAAGACCTTCACGTCTGAGCCAAGCTCCTGGGGACTTATCTCATAAATCCTTCCACGTACTCAATATTCCAAATGAGCAAATAAATAAATAACCAAAACTGTGGTCAGTGGCCACCGGATGCCAGGCAATAAATTGGTGTTAAATGTTAAAATGGAGGGATGGAAAGGAAGCAGAAGCAGAGAGCCAGGGGAAGAATCACTGGGCAGAGGCAAGAGGTAAGCAAAGAAAAAGTCCCTGAGCTGGGAAAGAGGGGTAGTGTATACGGGGTATACAGGATTTGAACAAGTCAGAGGCCAGATTACACAAGGCCTCGGCCTCGCGCTACTGACCTTATCATTTATAAAGAGTTGCACGATGCACATCTGTTAAGATGGGGCATTTTCTAGACGCCATGGCTTTAATGCCTCCTCGCTCTGTCACTGACATGACTGCGTGGTCCATTGCTGAGATCACAGCCACTTTTCTAGGTAAACAAGGAGGGCGCCACAAGTAGACGGCACACACTGCCTTCCAGGACCAAATGGCGTGATCCAGCTGTACATCAGGCAGCAGTGTAGACGGGGCTCCTGCCACAGGTCTGGCTTGGCTCACTTTTCCCTCGTCATTCGTGGCGTCCCCTCTCACTCTCGGTGTTCCAGTTTGCATGGTAAATTATAAGGCCCTTGACAGGAGACGCATGTGTCCGCGTTGTCTGAAGAGTTAGGCTCCTTGCTTGATACCTATTAGGAATTTCTTTTCTCTACACCGGAAGGGGGGTTGGTCTTACACTTTCCAAAACGCCCAGGCAAGCTTTGATAGGCACCAAGTGTACACTGCACAGTGGGCTGCTGCTAAGAAGGACCAGGCGCTCAGCAAATCCTGGCAGAGGACAGTGACTGCGCATGGGCTGATGCCTTGGATCAGTCTGGCTGGTCAGGAGCGATGACCAGAAGTGAGTGAGTCTGTGGTGGCAGGCGCCTGTGAAGTGGACACATCTTTCTTGATTCTTGACTCCGCTTGTTTTATGTTGCTATAACTTTGTTTTAAAAAACGGAAATGGACTTCTCGTAATTTTGAAGGCTAGGAAGTCCAGTATCAAAGTGCCAGCCTCTGCTCAGGGCCATATTCCTTCCTCGTGACATGGCCGAAGGCATCATCTGGCAAGACAGAGCAGATGCCCTAGCCCAGGTCTCTCTTCCTCTTCTCATAAAGCCCCTAATACCATCGAGGAACCCTCACCTGGTCCTCACTTCTCAAAGGCCCCCATCTCCAGCCACTATCAACACACGGCTCTGAGGTTGTTTCCAGCACATGAACCTTGGGGGACACATTCACACCACACCAGTTCTTAACATCAGCTTACTGGGGTGGGATGGGGCTGCCTTAGGGATATGCAGAGGGAGAAACCCTGCCATAGAGCCCACAGTTCTGTTGGATTCTCACAGCTATGCAGAGAGAGAGAGAAGGAGGTGGGTGGTGGGGTGACTGGCAGACACCTATGGAGGCCTCTCCTGCAAGAGTTTATCTGCATCTCCTGAGAAACGGCGGGCAAGTGCACATCAGCCCCTCAGACAGGCGACTGGGAGAGGTCACAGATCCTGTGACTGTTTTGTTACTCGAGGTCACCGAGGGAGGAGCTATGTCTGAGGTCAGGGGTAAGAAAGGCATAGCAGTAACCTTTTTGGTTTAAATCAAGCCAATCCACAGAGTGTAACTGATCTCAGACTTCCCAAGTCTGGTCCTTTTGTGTGGAGTGAATGTAAGGAGACACAGCTGGGAAAAGTCCCCTCTTCCATATTCAGGAAAGCAAATCTCAAAAGTAGAATTCTCTACAATCCTACGAGGCACCCCAGCAGTACCTAAAGCAAGTTTCACCAAACCTCAAAGAAAGAAAGATAAAGAGGGGCCCAAGTAATGAATCTTCCTGTGCTTCCTGGTCAGATTTTTTCATTTGTTTACTTTGATTTGATTTGAACATTCAAGTGTGTGGGAAGAATCTCACTGAACAGGAGCCTGAGTAACACTCGGTCAGTGTGTTTACGGCACACGCCCCTCACACTCAGTCATGCAGAGTGCCTGCTACGAGCCAGAGGACACGGAGTGTAGAGAAATGACATAAACGGCCCAAGGACCTGCCTGTCTTGCTCATTTCGCAGTGAGGCAGGAGAGATGTGTGAGCAGATAAGCCCTGTCCTTTCCGATGACCACCATGGCAGAGGTGAGAGGGAGCACGCGCGCGCGCGCACACACACACACACACACACACACACGTGCACTTTCCAAATTGAGCTGCTTTTGTTTCCAAGGATACTCCCATCTCCCTTTTGAATATCCACATGGGCTTCTTTACTGAGTTGAAATTCACATAACACAAAGTCACCTACCTAAGTACAGACAATTTGACGGTACCTAGTGCCTGGACATTGACAGTATTGTGTGGCCATGGCCCTGCCTAGCTCCAAAACATTTCCATCCCCCTAAAATAAACTACCAAGCAGTTAATAATCTATTAATAATAACCTATTAAGCTTCCCACTCTCCCTCCCCCAGCTCCTGGCAAGTGCACGTCTGCGTTCTTTCCAGGGATTCACCTAGTCTGGTTATTTTGTATGAATGGAGTCACACACCATGTGACCTTCACTGCCTGCTTTCTTGCACCCAGTGTGCTTTGGAGTTCAGTCCTGACTGCAGCGTGTGTCCGTACTTCAGTTCTTGCATCACTGAGTAATATATTCTGCTCTGTGCACACTGCCTACAGTACTTCTGCTGACCCTTTCATCTCTTGATGGACTTGGGTTCTTTTGCCACCCAGCTATTTTGAACAGTGCTGCAGTGAGCACCGGGACAATGCTTGCCTAGTGTCCTCTTGCAAGCCCACTTGCCTGTCTGGGGCGCTGATATGCACTCACCAATCGCTTCCTGGGAGATGCATTACAGACTGTTGGAGGACAGGGTTGTAGACCAGTAAGCAGTGCTCCCTCTTGTCTCTCTCCTTGTTGGGGTCCATAGTTAGGACAACTTGCCAGAACCACGGATTCCTGAAATGGATGAAATTTTTGTTTGGATTTCTATTTTCAACTCTTTGGAACCTATTCCTAGGAATGGATCTGCTGGGTTACATAGCGATTCCAAGTTTAACTTTTTGAGGAGCTGTCAAACAGTCTCACAAAAAGACAAAAGTCTTCCCGTAGAAGACCCACAAAGTACTGTGGTTAGATGCTCCTCCCTAAGTCACCCAAAGGCTTTGAAGAACTGAACCTTGCTTTACAAGGACACCAAGCAGGTGCGAATGCCTTGGTTGGTCTGAACTCACACTAAGGTGGCGAAGGTCATGGATTCAGTTCCTACACAGGCCAGTTACTGAGCAGAGCGAGCAGCGGGAAGGACTGTGCTTGAGGCCGCATCCTCCACCATCGAACTCGGTCCTGCTCTCTTGCAAAAGCTCTTCAGTGGTCACAGGTGCACAGGGCAGGAGTGTTTTTATGGCTCCACTCAAGAGAGAAACACAGTCTGAGGTTCGACATCTACTGAAGGCCCAGTGAGACTAACTGGAACCAGAGGCTCCTACACCTGGCTCCACTTGATTTCCGGGGCTTCCTGGGTAAACTGTTGAACCCTGCCCCAGAGCCTCAGTTTCCTCCTCTCCAAAGGTGGACTGACAATCCTTAGCCAACGAGACAGCCATGCACTTGCTGACTTGTCTCACGGGCTTTCAAAGTGTGCTGTTCAGTAGGAGGCTCAGTACCACGCATAAGTACCCTCTTGGCTCTGCAAAATGCCCTAACCACACTCCCCAGGTGGACTGCGCTGGAATGGCAGCTGTCTGCGAGGTTACACTGGCTGTTTTAAACTGTCCTATTTGCATGGAATGAAGCTTGTTAAGGTAACAAGGTCTGGTGGCTGGAATCCAGGGCTCCAGGTGAAAAAAATGAAAAGTCTGTGCTGGGAGAGAAAGAGGAGCTAGGAGGGGTCTAGCAACACTGAGGTTACCACAGTTCTCCCCAGAAGAGGGAGTGGGTAAACTGAGGCAGCAGACTCAATACTACTTCTACCCCCTTAGGAAGAAAAGGGAAGCCACACCGATGCCTTCCAGTCTTTTCTCCTGATTTCATCTCTCCTCGGCCAAGAGTTAGCCCAGACAAGAAGCTTAGGACCGGTTAAGGCTGCGCCACGCACCTGGGCTGCACAGGCCAGGGCTGGGGGCCACGCGAAGGCCGTGCGCCCAGGCCCAGGACAGGGAAGCACAGAGCTCCTTCCGGGAGTGGAGAGCTCAGGTCTGGCGGCTGGCGGGGTGGAGGTGAGAGGCGTCGGCTACCAGCTCAGCTCCCCGCTGGGCATTTCCTGCCAGCGGTTTATGGATGGACCCAAAGGGAGAACTCCACTCCTGAGCAGCGCGAGCCGCCCCTCCCTCCGAGCCCCATTCCTGCTCCCCTG